TTCTGCTTCAGGGCTATGTGGAGCCTTGGTAGGACTCAGGCTCTTCAATAAATTGTTTTAGAATCACTTAAATAGGACCTTCACAATTCTTTTTTACTTAAGTATATGCTGCCAGATGTTCAAAACTCACCTGGACAAGCTCCTGTGCAACTTGGCTCTAGGTGAACCTGCCTTGGCAGCAGGGTTGGACTACATGATCTCCAGAGGGCCCTTCTACCCCTAGCAATTCTGTGATTAATGAGATAAATTTGATTGACTTGTACCATAGGTAAAATTCTATATTGCAAGCTAGTTTAACAGTCTTACAGTCTCTCTGTTTCCTATCTGCTTCCCTTGTTCCTCCCAAAGCAATAGACTATCCTGTCAGTTGTGTTGATATGGGTGTTTGAGATGACATGTTACAAATTAGATTAGTGAAATCATCTAGATGAAAGAAAGAGTCAGAGGAGTTGTGTACAAAAATCTAAATCTTTTTCCATAAAGCAACTTTTCCATTCAATAATCTTTTTCCCTTGCTCTTCTTTAGATTGCCTCCAGCTAATATAATTTTTTCTGCTATCAAGGTACCTGAAGGCTGGCATATTCATTTACATTGTGAAAATATAGGATGGTCTATTTTAAAGAATCTATGTGGTATATGTCAAGCTAGTTTTTCAGATCACAGATGTCTGACTACTGTACTATGCAGCAAGACAGTATCAAAGTTGTTTACTGTGATCTTTGATTTCTAATAGAAGTGTTGTAAGTTCAATACTGTTACAAAATGGAAAGAGAATTATGCAGAATAATAGACATAAAAATACTTGGTGTCCTTAACTGCTACCAGGCTACTGCAAAAGGAAATTCATATATCTTTCTGATAGCTGTAAGGAGAATGGATATCTGTGCTGCTTAATGTCATATATATCCTTTTCACCTTGAATTGCATTTCATGTATATTTAAAAGGTTAAAAGAATAGTTTTACATCTATTAAAGTATTTCTTAGAGTATTTTATTGCACCAAGACGACTGTTCACTTAACTGCTTCTTCGATTTTGGTTAACCCAGCTCATGCAAAGGCCTGATGGATGCTGGAAGCTGCAGCACTGGGTCAAATCCAGAGCACCAGGTAGGTAGGGAAGGTGGCCAGGAGAAGCTGAAGGGCTGTTATGCAGTCATGGTCACATGCAGATCGATGTCTCCTGCAGCCACTTTTGTTTTCTGGTTTTTATCTTCCCCGTTTCCTCAGACTTCACTAAGGTATGGAAATGGTGTAGATCAAACCTTCAAGCTGCAGGGTGTAAAACTGGTTTACCCAAAAAAACTTTAGAAGTAGATGTAATGGCAGATGGATGGATCACCGAGCCTTTCCTGCTTCCAAATGAGATACAGGGGGCACTCACAATGGGATGGAGGAAGAAGAAGGAGGACCCTCAGCATCAGCTAACAAAAAAAAAATCTCTTTTGTTCATAGGTGCATGATATTAACTTATAGGTTATAAATAATGAAATCTTATGCCTTAAATGGATAATAAGGGAATTAATGTGACAGGCTGGTCTGGCAGAAAAGAGGATTGAGCCCTTGCTTGCCAAGTTTGTTTATTATGCTTCTTAATGAGCTCATTAATTAAGGTTTTAATCACAGTATAGATTGTCCTGGAGGTTTGAGAGATCCAAACCCACCAATATATTTACACCTCTTTTTTTTGTTTATTGGTTTAATGTAGAAATTTTCCATTCTGTAAGCTCATATATGCTGAAGCTATCTTCTCTTTGCAAAAAAAAATTTCAAGGGTATTAAAGCTTTTTCATAGAAGATGTTAAACAAATAATTTATAATGAACCATTAAGATGATTCCCTACAAATCTGATGTTTTCTCTGGTGCTTTCACAGCTTCATTTTGATGTAGACACATAAATGTGGTCAAGTGAAGGTTTTATGACAATGTAACATTCTGTTTCTGAAGCAGCTTAGAGCCATCACAGGGACAAGCTGTGATCAGGATAGTTTGATTTTCAATTATCTTGCTTCTGCCCAACCATTCTGCAGTTCATGCACCAAAGTACCCTTCTCACCTGAGAGTAAAAGAAGTTGTTGCATCATACTGCTTGCTAATGTATATCCAGTTTTAAAAATATGGAGAACTAACAATGTTACACTTCTGGGTACTGAGAAAAGGGAAAAGATTGAAATTTGAATTCTTTGAATTCTTAAAGCTTAGCTAATTCTAAAACTTTATTAAGGTTTTTCTAATTTACTTTAAGTAATTTAGATGCACAATATGGAGGTACTTTAGTAGTCTTTTATAGAGTACTTTAGGTGCATAAGTAGAATGGAACTGAGTAATCATTAACTAATGCTAGGCTGCAGATAAGTGGAGTTTTAATCACTAGTATTTACATGAGTGTTTTTGTTGGTATTTCAACTGTTTTATTTGCACTTACTCATTTGCAAGTTTATGTACACAATGATTACGTGATGTACACATTTCACATGCTGAAGTTCAATTTTATTGACAGATTGTTTCTACAATATAATAATAGCTATGTTTTCCCAATCACTACAGTTAGACATCTAGAGAAATATTCTATGCACCATGCCAATATAGCTCACTAAACTGGTCTCTTGTTATTTTAAATAAGACAATGGCCTTACTGAATTGCATTAGACAATATTAAGTAGCTACAACCAGGTTGAAATTTCCTTGTTTATCTGGCCTATAGCCATAATCTCTGACAATTACACAGGCATTCTTATATTAAACATTGATTATTTCATTTCTCCTAACATATCTCATGACTTCATCAAAAAGATATTTTCAGAGCCATACTACTTCCAGAGTTTCAGTAGATGCCCTTTTTGAGCAGAATATATACATATATGTAGATATATTAACATGCAGATATGCACTACAGCTTTCCCTGTGAAAAAGTCTCACCTAAAAATTTTCATTGGGAAAAAATTGCTGTTTGGATGGTTTTATGTGAACTCTGCAACTGCTAAAATGGCTGTCCCAACAAGCCATGTAGTAAATGTATGACTCACCTGGTTCATTAATTCTTATTGGATATTAAATGTTTGGGTCAGGCTTTTACTGGTCAGTAGTTTAGTGGCTTACAGTGAAAAATAGGTTTGGACATACCACTACTGGTCCCCATGTGTTGGAGGAAAATGTGTCAGAATGATAAAGTGCCCACCACAAAGGCTATTGGAATTTCAGCAAGTTACAGTACTGCTCAATTAGATTATGGCACCAGTAAAACTTAGGTTGTCACCCACTGACATTTGTTCAACGTAAATCTGAAAGTAAGAGTGAGTGGTCTCTCAGATGCTTATGCATCAATGATTTGTAGGTGTATAAAAAAAAAAAGCACAGAGTAAGAATATACAAACATATTTAATCTGAAGAACTCCTTCACCTTCAGAAGAAGATGGATATTCTTAAAATTACATAATTCTATGATTAGTTTTTTAAAGCTTGTTTAATACTCAGTGGATATCCCCAAGGGGATAACTGAGAACATGTAAGTTGGATGCTTTTGTACAGCATTTTCACAAACTTTTTAAAATTAAATTGTTTCTTTAAACCAGGCAACAAAGAGAGACCATTACTTGTACACTACAATATTTGGTATTTCTGCAATAGGAAACTGTAGTTGCAATGTTAGAGTACATAAAGAGTACACAGTTGAAAAGAATAAGCATTGACTGGGTGATGACAGAGTGAAACATCTATGACTTCTCAGAGAATGGGTTATGGGAACCCTTAATACTTTTGCATAGAAAGAATTTGCATATTTTTTCTTTGCAAATATTTCTCAAAAATTTAGGTAGCAAAAATGGGCATGTTGACCAAGAACATTCACTTCTATTCTTTAGAGATCTTAATCTTATAAAGAAGTGAAAACCTAAAACAAGTTTAACAGAAATAATTAAGTCTCAATATTTTTTGTCAAAAATCCTCTAAGATCATTGAGTCCAACCATTAAACTAATTTTATAACTGAATACCAACAAAAAAATGTGGGATCAAAGATTTACTAATTCCTTCTCTGATCTCTCACATAGACAGGCAAAACAGCAAAACATCTAATCTTACACTGATTGTATCAACTATCTTCATAATGCTAAAGTAAGAGTAAAAACAGAAGAGTAACAAATTTTGGGCTTTCAGGTTCCCAGTCTGTTCTGCTTGCAAAAATTTCTGTATTTTATTAACGATTTAATATTTCTAAAGCACAGATTAATTTGATTGCTTCAGTTCAAGAAAACTTTCTTAGCTATACCATGAAAAATCTAGGAATTTAAGTAAAAATAATTATTTTTGATGTCTGCCTTGGTACAATTTCTTTCTCTCAGGATCCTTAGAACAACTTCCTTCTCAGCAGAGAATGATTCAAATCTGCATAAGTCAATGACTACTTGTCACTCTCACAGGATATGTTTGTTTACAGAATGCATTAAAAATTTCATGCTTTGCATGCTTCTTTAATTATGCAAGTTGGATACTTTATCAACAGCAGTCATTATATTCCAAAGCACTGTATAAAAAGCTATCATAGAGGAAACTACTGAGGCTAAAATTAAGCAGAGCTACTCAAGAAATTCTGTGGATCTTTCTGCTAAATTCTTGTATCTCATTTGTTATATCTAGTATTGTCATGAACAGCTTCAATTTTTCACCTTCTTATTTTATGGCTTTCAAGCATCATCTCTGTTATTTTCAATGATTTAATCAGAAACACATGATTTACGAACTATTCTTTTTTTCTTTTCTTATCTTTTTGGGAGACAGCCCCTTCATACTTTACTTTTTAGTTCCTAAATTCAGCTGAAATTATAGAACTTTCATTTACCTTTAGACAGAAAATTACTCATTTTCATCAGTTATTATGGTTATAATTATTTCATGATAATTTGTATCAAATGATACAATATTTCTCTTTATACAGGTAACCTTGCTATTGACAACAAAGGTTATTGTGGAAATTGTGAAATAAAGAGCCATTCGAACAGAATGTCTTGATTATGAAGCATTTTATTCATTGAAATAATGGCTAGGTCTTTGAGTCTGCAGAAATGTAATATAAAGTTAAGCATAAGAAATAAAAATAAAGTTTACCTAAATTGTAAGGAAGTTACCTCAAAATATCAGGCATATAATACCCAAACTTGGAACAAAACCACATTCATAAATGTAAAATATTTTTGGGGTAAATTCACTTCTGTACTCAATGAAAATGACCCCTTCTTGTGTACTTCACTGTGCTCATGAGAATCTGAGAGCTTATGACCTTTCAGTTTCATACAAATTAGGTGTTAAATGAGTATCAAAAACTCTGGAGATTTCTCAATTTGTATACAACACCAGAACCTCCATATTTCTTGGGTAAGGCTTATGGTAGAAGAATTCTAATTTCGTAAGTAACTGATTAAGTGAAAGACTATCAGACTCATTTGGTTTAACATTGGATATTGTGTTTAATGACATTTCCCATACAGGATGCTGCATATTATAAGGGCATTTTTCTTTTCTTTTTTTTTTTCAGGGAATAGCAATTTGCACTTTTTTCAGGAGTTAGCTCTTGGTGGAAAAACTTGATTTATAGTAGAACATGTTGCTATCCCTGTAGGCTTGAGAGATTCGTTTCTTTCAAGGATGGATAGTTTGTTTTCAACAGGTACAGAAGGAAAAACACATGGTATAGAAGGTAGCACAAAATCTGAACAACAACTTAACTGTAGGATGAACTATGGTACAGAAATGTCCTCTTATGCTTACACTAACAAATTCAGTTCATTTCCATTATCTAGGAATGAGATTGTGGAGGAGTTTATGTGAACAGCAAATTGAGAATATTTCACACCTGTATCACCCAGCTGTTGATGGATAGTGTCACTTAGGGCAGATTCCTAGTAGCTTTCATAAGTATGAAATTCTGTTTTAGGCTTTGTAAATGAAACATTTTTTATTCACACTAATGTCCATTTTAAATCTCAATACACATTTTTTAACACAAAATATTTTTTTTTAATTGAAAAGTTTAAATTATTTAAGTGGACTTTCCCTGGACCATGGGCTTCATTCAACTTGAGCAACAATAGTGTAGTCAAATTAATTTCTTAATAGAAAGTGTTTGCTGTAAAGTAAAAATGATCTGGAATCACTAGTAAATAGCATAGCCAGGAGAATCCAGGAATTAGATTTGTGATTTTTGCTCATTTTGAAGTCATCTTGCAATCCTGCTTGTTTTAAGACTATGACTTATTACCAAATTACAGTTATGCTAGTCACCCTGAAGGGCAATTTTGAACCAAGGTTGCATGGATATTTTAAAGGCATCTAGATGAGGACAGCAACAATTCTTTACTGAAAAATTGAGGGCTGGACTCTTTGATGTTTTTTACAAAGTATTACCCCTTATTCAATAAATAGTATCCTTTCCTTAGAATTAAAATAATTAGAAAGTAATTAATGGGTAAAAATAATTTGGTTAATATGAAATGCAGAAAAATATGCAGTCCAAGTAACATTAGAGTTTAATTGCATATCACAATAATAATCGGATTACCTTTGTGGCATAGAATTAAAAAATGCTGGAAAACTTAGGTAATTGGGAGAGTACAGCATACTTCAGAATATATTTATGCAAAAAGAAAGAGAAGGTTCCCAATACTGTAAACATTTTTGTTTTAACAAGTATTTCCCTTTTCATTCAATTTTGTGATATTAGATATATAAAATCTTGACTATAGTTTAAGGTAATTTAGTGGGGCAACACTAAATTACCTTAATTACCTCTTGCTTTCACTGACTTATTTTTTCTGACTAGCAGACTAACTACTATGGTAACAAGTAGAATAACTATCTCAAAAAGAAATTTAAAGTTTACAAGATCAAAAAGTAATAGAATCTCACAATCTGTATATTAAAAAAGCTCTAAGTAATGTTTCTTTCTTTGACCTACACAGATTATTCTCTTTCAGTTTAGCTATGATACCAAAAATATTTGGTTTGTCCAGATGTAGAAGCCCAGAAGATAAGGGGCTACTATGTAAGTCTCAAACACCTGTAGCAAATTATCAAGGGCTGCTGGTAAGAACAGGCTGGGAGAAAAGGACAAGATGTTCCTGGAGAAGGGGGCCATACGGAGGCAGGGGAGTCTTTCTGGGGACAAAAGTCCTCATTCTGGCTTCTGGAAATAAGCACCAGGCAGCACAGGGCAAGCAGTAATGAGGTTGAGAGCTGAGCCTGGACTATCAACCAGAGGTCAGTCTGGAGCGGGGTAGAAGCTCACCCAAGCCTCCCGAAGCCCTCCAGCCCACTTCCAGAAAGATCTAAAAGAACAAGCTCTACATGATGACTAGTTTGTATAGCATGAGAGAAACTTCCATTCAGAGCAGGAAAAGCTTATCTAAGCTTTAAAAAGGAATCACCACAAAACTTGGGTGGTGGGCGCCCAGAATCCTGAATGACACATTAGCTGGAGGTAGTTTTAACCAGAAAAATAAAAGATGGATAGACAAACATTCACAGATGAAAGCAAGTCACCTATAGTGCCTTCTTCTGAAAAAAGGGTCAGTATATTAGAGTTACAACTTTAAAAACCCATGGAATAGCAATAGCCAGGAGTAAAACAATCAATTTCTCATTGTGTTCTGCACCCAATACAAAGCAAAACCAAAACAAAACAAATTAGTCTGGGGAAGGGTTTTGGGGATATAACCCTCATATAACTCAATGAGGGTTATATCTCAGTTTCATCAGAAGATTCTCAAGCTGTCCAAATATCTCAAATTAAAATTATCAGTATTCAAAATACATTAGAAAATTTAAGGGTAGTAATCATCATTTAAAAAACTGAAATTAACCAAAGTAAGATTAGAGCAACTACAGAGGAGAAGTTCTAGATTTTTTAAAATATGTGCTTGTTTCTTTGAATTTTCAATGTGATAATTCCTACCATGTTTTTATAACTATATTCTGACTATACTGGATAATACAGAGGTGCTGAGCAAGTCAATTCAAGCTTCCCTTCTCTTATGACATAGTCCAATTTTGCATTACCTGCCTGTCAGAAAAATCATCTACTTTCAGAACCGGAAGTGCTTCACACAGCTCTGAAATGCCTCTAGGTGACCAGATTAGAAGCATGGTTTGGCCTAAGAGTTTATCAAAGAAAACCACTTAATGCTCTTTCCTTTTTATGATACAGTACATGAAATGTTTCTGTTTTCTCACAAAATGCCCTTAATTGGGCAATTGACAAATCCACTGGAATGAAGACTTTTATTTTATAGTTACAGGAAAGAAAAATAGTAAGAAGGTTTAAACCAGACTTCAAATTACCATGTTTCGATTTTTGCTACTAATTTTTTTTCAAATGTATTTGGTAGCAATGGTCAAACTAAATGGCAAACCTTTTCTACTTGGAATAGAAATCTGGAAGTTCCAGATTCCATTCCTTCCAGCTGCAAGCTAACTATAATCCCCAGTGTTAACACTGCGGAACAAAATAAGAGTTAGTGCACAGTCAGAGCTCTTCTAGTTTGGTTAAAATATTACCTATATAATACTCACTTTTCTGTATGGTGAGAATATTATTTATAGTGCACTTCTCAGTTGAATTCTGTTTGAATTATATGTTTCTGGGCCAGTAATTCAAATGGCAGGGGAACAATGAAGCTGAAATAGATCTAAAAAGATTTAGTGTTACTCAATGCATGGAGGAAAATCTATTCAACTGTTTAAAGATTCTATATTCTTCTCTCTCAAAGACAGAAAGTTTACCTTCAAATTCACAAATTCCTCCAGAGATTCTGGGATCATTGGTTTGGGAAGGGCTGGTAGCCTCAGTCTCTTTCCATAACACTGCTGCAGAGGCTAAAATGATTGGAAAAAAAGGTCTCCTTATAAAATTGCAGAGAATATTTTGAGTCTTGTACTTAGTCATAACTGAAAATTACCAGCTATATGAGTGTAACCTAAATTGTGTAAAATTAGTAAGTAGTGAATGTTTCAAAACCAAAACATATGCAACAAGAGATTCACATAGTCTAAATCTTTTTTCAAATTAATATGAATTTTTCAGCCTATAGCTTTTTAATTCCTCCATTGATACCCACCTGCACTAGTTTTGGTTGGGATAGAGGTAATTTTCTTCACAGTGACTAGCATGGGGCTGGGTTTGGATTTGCACTGGACACAGTGATAATAACAGAGATGTTTTTGTTACTGTTGATCAGGGCTTACACAGATCCAAGAGGAAATAAGAGCCCTGCTTGCTCTTTAGTGGCTTCCCTTGGACATGATCAAGATGTGTACATACTGTTGAAGGACAGTAAGGGTATGTAAAAGATATTTCACTGCATTGTTTACTCTGTAATCTTCATTCTATATCAGGTTTGCCAGTTTGATACAATATTACTCGTAATGAAGTAAATGATCCAGTTAAGACCTATGCAGCATTATATTGTTTTCACTCTTTGTCAACACAAAATGAACTTGAAGAAAGTATTATGAATTAAAAATATCAAGACTGGGCAAGTCTCTCTCCTACAGTGTGGCCCACAATGAAAACATAAAGTTGTTATCTGTACCATTTCTATTTCCACATATTCTTGATATTTTTTTCATTATTCTAGGTTCTTTTTTTTTCCATTTTGACTTCACTGGAAGGTACAATCAAAAAATATTTTTTCCTCTGTTACAGATACTACCATATTAATACTTGCTGTGGCACTACTGCTTGCTCTTCCAGAGTAAAGAATTTTAAAGGCAAAGTAAACATTTAACAATCTTCTTTTGTAACAAAGCTATATTCTTCATTTATTTCTGAAAACTGGAAAATAAGCTTTCATGGATAAATTATAAAATTTAACATAAATTACTTGGACTTAGATAATACTGTTTCTTCATCTTCAATGATCCTTAGAATGAAAGAAAGGTAAAGATTTCCATGTCCCTTGGTTGAGACTCTTTTATAGGATTCTTTGGTACAACCTGTCTTCATGTCAGATAGGATAAAAGAATCTTTCCTCTCATAATCTCATTCCTGAAGTTGGTCCTTTCACAGGACTGATGAATACTGCAAAATATTCGACAGAGTACTGTCTTCTTTCACAGCTTGCCAGCTTCTAGGTGATTATGGTGAAATGGTTATCTGCCCCCCATTGTTTTCAATTTATTTTAAGAAAGACGTCCACTGCCTTTTCTCTCTGGAAACAATTGGAATTTTGAAAGAGAGCACTGCACCTTAACTGAATTTCATTAAGAACAATAGGGAATGGAACCATTTAAAGAGAGTGTTGGATGATCTTCTTTAAGGACTTTACGACTGATGAACATAGTGGTAGAAATAGCTATTTAACTTTTTCAAAAGGTTGAATAAACCCATCCATTATTTTTTCTCTTAAGGCTTCTTTGAATAACCTCTCCCTGATAGGTTTATTGAATTTGGTTTTATATACTTCCAAGAAAAGACTTTACAAGCCTGCTCATTAACTGGTTGGTACATTTAACTACCCTTATAGTGAAAAAGCTTTTCTGTAAACTAAGATCTTTGTTTCTTGCCCTATCTAGTGGCATAGAAAGTAATGTTGTCTTTACAGAAACTTTTTATTTGATGCTGAAGAACTTTTATGTCTCTGAAGTCTTCTGCAACCCAAAACAATCACTTCTTTCAACCTTTCTGTCAGTTGCATTTTATAAATAACCTGCCCTTGCAATTATTTTCCTCAGAACTGACCCCAGTTATTCTGTATCCAAAGGTATTATTGTCAAAACTGGTCGAAACACTTTGTGAAACCTTATCACTGTCAAATAAAGCAGAATAATGATTTGTATGTATCAGTTCCATTGCCCCACAGTGAGTGAGCCTCCCTAAATGTGTTGCAGAATTTATCCTTCCAGAATAATTTCCCATTTCCAGCTATTTATTTCCCATTTTTTATGCAACTTAAATGCATCTGCTTTCCTTTTTCTAAGAGCAATACTTTGTTATCCTCTGACTGAACTTCATTTTCTTGATTTTATATGATTTCTCTGGTCTACCAAGATTACTTTGAATTCCAGTCCTCCTCTTAGTAGTGTGTCAGCTCCCAGCCTGAGTGTCAGTAGTCCATGTGAACTTTTCACAGAATCACTGTGAACCACGGAAAAGTCTGAGTGGGAGGAGACCCACAAGGATCATCAAGTACAGCTCTTGAATGAGTGGCCCACGCTGAATCCAGAACCTTGGAGTTAGTAGCCTCATGCTCTAACCAACTGAGGTAATAATGGTTTTTTTCATCATAAAAGCTAGTGAAGAAAGTGCTGACACACTTCAACACAGACTACCTGGTCAGACCATGAACTCATTCTAATTAATCTCTGAGTATGATTTTTAGCAGGTTTTGTACCTACATGGTAATTTCATCCCAGCTTTTGTTTGCATAACCGCTAAGTGGAACTTTTCATCGCAACGTCAAAATTTCCCACATCTTTTGTCTTCTGCCTCATCTAGAGAGGGCATCCTTTTAGGAAAGGAAATTTGGCTGGTTTGACCTGATTTCTTTTTGACAAATCCATGTTGGCTATTTCTCCAAAACCACATGTTTTCCTCTAGGTTTTTAAAAATTGATTGTTTACCAATTTTTTCTACTATCTTCTTGAATATCATAGTTGGTCTGTCTGGTCTGTAAACTCCGATTCATTTTATTCTTTTCAATTAACATGATCAAATATTGAACAATCCAAAACTGCTTGTCAGGGTGAAAGAATATATTGCCAAAAATTATTTTTAAATACCTGACTTTGCCATTTTAAATTGATGGAGAATAATGTATTCTGTGGACATAGTTTTAACAGGAAATTGCTTTCTACATCAGATCCATCCTAGATATGTATCAGACAGAGGCTGAAGGAAAAAAAATGGGGATTGGCCCAAAGCTTAGTCTAAGCAGTAGAAAGCCTACCAGCTGAGGCTTCAGACTTTGGAATAGATTCTTAGTATGTGTCTGGCACTCGCATCAGTCTGGCACCTGCACCGGTTTGACAGACAGATCAATTTGTGAGCCTGGCTATGCAAACTGAAAAGTCTTTAAAAAGGCTTTGCTGCTATACAAAATGGGAAGCAATGACATGCTGACCATAATTTCATTGAAAAATGTAGCACTGCATACTCTGTGGGAGTCCCCATGCTAGGGTTGTGTGTTTCAGTAATTAGAGATTTAATAATAAGTAGAGAACTAAAATGTATTATCCTGGAGAAAGGAAAAGTGAAGAATTTAAGGAATTCACTTTAGCAAAATTCTCTAAAAATTCACTGTGAAGAATAGACTCTAATAAAACCTGCAGCCAATTAAAATACCTGGAGACAGTTTATGCACAGTTTAGGCCCTGGTTTTTGTTTTATTAAAAAAAAAATAATGCCCACTAAATATAAGCTCGACCAAATCAATCCACATTCAATTTGGTTTGCATTTTATTTATGCAATTATAAGGTCGCCATCTGGTGGTTGCTTTAACATTAAAAAAAAAAAAAAGTGAGGTTGTTTCTGAAACGTTGTAGCTATATACAACATGGAAGGACAAAAAAGATCAACATGTGAGAAATGACCATCCTAACTAAATATAGGGAGTGGAGGTTACAATAATGATTTTAGCCAGGACGCTTTATGGACTGCAGTAGTCATAGGTTTGGATGCAAATATAAAAACTCCTATTCAGGAAAATTAATTTAATAAATTAAAATACTTCAAAATAATACATCTTAGATTCCAAAATCAGAGAGCTAATAGCTTAATAGCTTTCTTATACTGATGAAATGCTCTCTGGAAGGGTTTATCTCTGTCTCTCATTTACTAGCTTTGTGACTGTACTCTTTGGACAAGTTAAGAAAAGTGGAATCCAATTTAAGATCAAGTATTGAAAATTCCCCGTCACTTAGGAGAGCTCTGCAAAGGAACCTGGAAAGGCTGGATCCACAGGCCAAATCCATCAATCTTTTATGCTTTTAACTGTGTATCTTGACTGCAAAATAGAGATCATGTAACAAATTATCTGGATACATGACACTATTCTTTCAACCTGCTTTAAACTGGAACTCTTCCCTACACATAAATGCAGCTGTTGCAAGAGGATCTTTTTGACTGGAAAAGCAATGCTTCAAAAATTTGCGTCAGTAATGTGCCAGTTATTCCAGCCGGTAGTACCCATGTAGAAACAGCATCTTCCATTAAAAATATCAACATAATTAGTGCTTGACATATTGGCAAACTACTAGAATAGGGCCTTCAAAGGTGCCATGAAAATGTTGTGAGTTTGGCCAGGTCTTCCTTGTTCTAGTGCAGAAAATCAAGGAAAGGTTTAACAATGAAGACTACTGTGCTGTAACTGTGACTTTTTGCCATGGTTTTAAAAGAGGATAACTTTTTCATTAAGAGACAGAAACCAAAACTCACAAAATACAACATTTTACCTCCTTTGATAATCCCTCCATTGTTATCCAAACAAGTGAGAAAAGAAAGACTCAAAGTCTCTTAAGAAAAATAAATATATAGCTATTTTGCTTATTAGAAATGTAAATTACACAGTCACTATTTTAGCAAATTCAATCTTTAAGCTTTACACATTGGCGGTCTTATTTTTTGATGAATTTTAATTGAAGATATTCACATTTCAATACCTTCAAAATATGTCCCTAATTTTTTTTTTCCTTTCATAAAGCCTTTTTGCTGAATATTTCCTCTGAAAACAAAGTTAAGCAAACAGAAAAAGTAAACAGAGAATGAAATAAAATATTTCATCTCTGGCTGGTCAGCATGGTCCTGATTTTTTGTTTGTATCACTAAAATAAATATTTGAATATTTAAAATGGTTTACAAGTTTACCTGAGAAGATCTTTTTCCAAGTTTTCCATTAAATGAAAAGTTCTTTGGTTTAAGGTTTTGGAATTTCTGTCCATGTGTGTACCATACGAAAATTTTGCCCGTGCCACTGTAAAGAATATAAGAAGATTTGTATACATATTATTTAATTACCTCATGGAAACAGCTTCTCAGATTTGAAGAGTTCTCTCATGATAAAGGACCACTGCACAAAAAGAAAGATAACACTGAAATTTGAAAAACTTATGAAGAAATTTCTTCAAAATCTGTATACATATTATCACATAGCAATTCTTTATTAAACTCATTTATTTTTGAGAATATCTCAAGTCTTCAATACAAGGATGAAATGAATTACTAATGCATGAATCATCCTATAAGTTAATGACACTGTATCATTTAATAACAGGGAAATAAAACTTCCTCAGAATTATCTCTTTACTTTCCTTTCACAGCCAGCTTCAGCCTTTTTAAAGCTTTCCTGTACTCTCTCAGTATTACTAGGAAGCCAAATGGTTACTGTACTTCCTTTGTAAATAGGACGTCATCAGAGAAAGATTGTATCATACCCAATATCTTCAATAGCAGGAAAACTGGTTTTCAATTTTGTTTCCAAAATATTTGTTACAAAACTCATTTTAGAAGAATGACTTCAATATTTTGAAATTATCTTTGAAAATATTTTTCAATTCACTTCTAATTTTCAATTCACTCTTACATGATGTGATTTTTATAGTTGAATTTGTAATGTGAATACAAATGAAAATATTAAACAAAAGTAAATAAAAATCATAGCCTTTTTTTTTTCTTTGTCATGAAACACTGGGTAAAAGGAGCTCTTTAGTAACTTTTTTAAGTGCTAAAATGTTAATAAAGATAAGAGGACTTTTGCCTTCCAGGAATCATAACTTCCTTTATTCTGTTGCTCATTAACTCTATTACTAGAAAATCATATTGGAGTTCTGAAACTCTGAAACACCACTTTTATAGAAGTCATGGTTTATTCAGTCCTGAAAGAAGGAGTATTAATGTTCCATCATGCAAATATTGCATTTTATTTTGATACCAAAAATAAAAATTCACGAGACTTGCAGACTACAAGTAAACTTGGAGCTTCATATTCATGATTCTATTACATTAAAACATCTCCTATTCTACCATATTTGTATATCTTTTAACAATAAACTTATGCAAGCCATTCAAAAATGTAAAACTTTCAGTCTTTTCTTGTAGCTTTAGCTTATTGCTTACATTGAATTGCATCTCCTTTTTTGCACCTCTCCTGGTTTTGGAAAACAGAACAAATTTGAATTACATAGAAATGTATCATACTTGCATTTACTGTAAATCTGTATCAGAACAACCAGCATTGTTTGCATAGGAATAAAGTGCAATACAGTAAAGGATTACAGAAATGAAATGTATACAAATAAACCACAAATAAACTAAATGTTATCCCAAAGTATAATGAACTATTGATTAATAATGCATTAGAAGTTAACACTGAAATCAAATTAGTCATCTCAGGAAGTTTGCATGCAATTTTTTTTCCTTGTCACTGATGTTGTGGTAATAGTTTTTTAAGCAAGTGTGTTTCTATGATGAGTTAATTTAGTATTCAGCATAATAGCACTGATAATAATGAGCTCAATTTGGCTTCCATTATATAAGCATTAGATAATGGATACCTATATTAAAGTGTTGCTGTTATGGTAGTGCTTTTTCTCTTCATTTGGTACACAGTGCTAAATCTTTAAAGGAAAGCTTTTATGCAAATTGTTGATGTTTTTATCTTTGAATCATGACTAATTTTATGGACCCCGGAATCCCATTATTGTCAAAGTTGCTTTTGATATGAGACTCTCGGTAATTTGACTTGCCAAGAGTTTATCATTAGTTATATCCTAGCTTTTTACTTTCATCTTTTCTCCCTTTGTCAGCTTTTTACATACTGCGACTTGTAGTATCATCTAACAAAAGTACACAGACACACTTCTGGCAAAGCTCTGCTAATTTTAACACTGTAAAAGGGCCACAGCCCAATTCATTGGCTTGCCCTTCAGTGAATGACTTGTTTGGTTTTCTGGGTACCACAATTTCCCCTGACAACTGCTGATGCAGTGCTCTTAGTGGAGAAGATGTTTATATTAAAGATTAAGAGATGTAAGTATAAGGAAAGCAGAGGCGAGAGTCTTATTTTATTTAAGGATCATCATTCTCCATAATCATTCAGAGTAGCTGCTGTGGAAGTTTATTCACAGTTATTTAACTATTAAGCCATTTTAAGACATTTAAGACATTGAAAATATAGAATATTATTAGTCCACTTTTGTTTTTTAATGTGTGCAAGTATCATAAGAAAAATAGTAGTAACAGTTCTAGATGGCTCAGCTTTTTGTATGCATGCTGATTAAATTTTTTGCATCTACACTGCTGGTAGGTAGCTGTTCCTAAGGCAGGTCAAAACACCGCCTGCTTTCTGACCTGTGTCTGTCCACTTGGCCATCACCCTAAGGCAGTAGATATACCTTTTCCAACAAATCAAAACTCAACAACATGATAGTGTTCCTCTTTAGAATCCTCTATAAAAGACCTCATCTTATTTTCCTAGCTAGATGGGAATGGTTTCCTGGTGCTTAACATTAAGTTGTTGAGCTATTGTCCTAAGAAAAAGATGAATTCATCTTTTCTATGCTTCCTTCTTCTGAGGTACACAACCCTGTTCTAAAAGGGAACTACTGATAAAACTAAAAGTTAAAAAAAGAGCCTAAATGTAACTGAACAGAACTCAAAAGAGTCAGATGAAAGACACTGGTGGGCATATTTTGAATGGGGAAATACAAATACCTGTCTCAAGCTTACCTTTCAGAATTATTGTTCTGTTTAATTAGGTTTTCATCTCATTTTTCTTTAGTGTATATTTTGAAATGTATTAGATTCATCAGATTGCTTTCTCCTTAGCTGAACATGAAAGCAATTTACAGCTTTCAAGAAACTTCATATGATAACTTTTTTAATTTTCCAACTGCACATATAAAAACTGAATTGATGAAAGTGCATTCCAGCATAAATGGTATTCTAGGTTCATTCTTTAATTACTTTTTAATGGAGAACTTCACCAATTTCATCTGAAATCACCTTGCCATAATGGCTTCATCTTCTTAAGCAGCCTGCATGATGTTTCACTTTAATCTTCCTATCTTGTGAGAAAAGTCAACTGAGGAAAAGGAGAAGAGCTTATCAGTGTTAGAGTGGTCCCTAATAACAGATAACAGGCTCTGGAAGTTTTAGACTAAGGGAAACACAGAGATCAGAGGATGCCTAGATCACATATGATGAGATAAAGAGTTCATCTGAGTTCTGCACAAGGGAGCATGTTTAGGGATTGATACTAATTTCAGGGTGAGACTGTAAATAACTCTTGGAAAAGAGAGATGAAATATCTTCTCTCCCTCTCACAATTTCGGAAAACACTGATTAAACTAGAAGCCTCTGAAAATCATGGGGTTTTTTTCCTTTTGGTCTGGAATGGCAGCACAGATTAATAAGAAGGAAGCCTAAAGTACCTGTCCCTCACTGGCACTTGCCTGTCACACTGACACTGCGACTCCTCGTGTGAAATTTCCCTAACTGATCTCCACTGAAGCCCTGAACTCTCATCTGTGCACATCTTAAGGTCTAAATAACAACTGATTATCCACCCAGCCTGAAGGAGAACAGGATTGTTTTCACACCCTTCCAGATGAAAGTCAAGGGAAATGGAAACTTTTAAATCTTTTTGGCTTCTCATAAAATCCTTTTTGAGTTCAGTGGTCTTTGAATAAGGGAAACAGTTAAGGTTTATTGACAGGAGTTTCTTTCCTTGAAATACATTAGAGACTGCTAAATCCATAAGAATGCTAGAATTGACTCCTCCTCTTCACTAAATAATATTGGAATATTTCCCTGATTTAGTGTTAATACTAAATCCCAAAGTATCGTGGGTTGTTTTTATTTTGAACTGCAGAAGAACACTTTGAAGTTATATAGAAACAGACTCAGGTCCAGAAATCATCAAGTCAAGCTTCCTTCTTGGCTGATAATTTGACCATTTCTAGGGACTTCTAAGGTGTTTAGACCTCCCAGTATGTTTTAAAATATTCTGACATTTTATGTAAACAAGGTTCTTAAATTTTGCCTTAGAACAATGTTAAAGTCTCTGAGATCAAATAAAATATAATTACTTGGAGTGTACTTCTTTTTCTTTTTTTTTTTAAAGTAACTTGCCTTCTAAAATTAAAGAAAAAAGGTATTATATCTGCATTTTTTATTAAAGCCCTACACTAAATCATAAATATAATTGATTTAAGAGTAACAATTAATCAAGAGTCAGTAATTAAAGACTGTTGAATTGCAGAATCACTGAATACACTGAGTTGGATCGGACCTGCGAGGACCATCAAGTCCAACTCCCAGCTCTGCACAGGACACCCCAAGAGATTTTTCCAAACACTTCTTGAACTCCGTCAGGCTGTTGCTGCGACCACTTTCCTGGGGAGCCTGCTCCAGTGAAGAACTTTTTTGTAATATCTGACCTAAACCTCCCCTGGAACAGCTTCAGGCCATTCCCTTGGGTCCTCTTACTGGACACTACAGAGAAGAGATCAGCATCTGTCTCTAGAGGATAATCCAGATTTTGTGCATGAGTCATGTCTTTATTTCATGTCCAACATGCAAGAGTATGTCTAGTATGTGATGAAGTATTTATTTCAGTATTTTGCCATATTTGCCTATCATATTACAGAGCAATAATCAGGGCTGCAATTTTCCAGTGCCTCTAAGAGAAATCATGTCATTGACCTCAACCCAAAGTCTCTCTTGTATGAGGGAAGGAGTCACGTATGTTTAGTACAGTGTGTACAAAGTTTTTTATTTATTTGTTATTTAGTGGTTTTAGGCAGGTGTGTGTGAGTGTTTGTGGCTTGGGTTTGTTTTTTATTTTTTTTAAAGGGTCCATTACAAGAAATATTTTCTACTTTTGAAGACTTAATGAGAAGGGGTTTCAGAAAGATAACTAGTGTTTGGGTAGTGGTGACATTAGTCTTGCATCTTGTATTTAATTTATGGACAGGGAGTACTAGCTTGAAGGCTCCAGAAACAGACCAATATCATGCTAAAAAAGAAACTTTCAATAATGAACACCAAGCTGAAAACCCAGAGATGGAAACCAGGACCAAAGTGTATACTGATTTAGGAACTTAAAAGCAGATTGATGCAGGATGTAATTCTAAAAAATAGCAACTTGGTCTGTTACAGAAGGTTTAATTTTCAGTACTTTTTTGTTACTTACAGTAAATGATAGCTTTCCACACATGCAGCCATGGCAGCAGCTTTGAAGTCACAGTACAGCAACAGGGTTTCCTAGGATCAAACAGCATAGTGAATGATGCAGTGGTGGTGGGAGTTCAAGTTATCACAGTGGTGGCTCAAGTAATACTGACAGGAGTGACAGCTGTACTGGGAAGCTCTTCAGAATCATTCCACCCCCACCCTCCACAAAAAATCATGTCAGGATGCTGAAGCCAAGCTATTACAACTGCTTGCTTTTTAACTGTAGTTTGCAGAGCTTGTGAAACAGACCACCCTGTGTCCCCTCACATCTGTCAGTGCCAGCTGCAAAGCAATGGTTTTTGCATACATGGAGTTTAGTGCTCAGGATTCATTAAGGTGGTCTGCAAGTCCCTTGACAATTGGAATTTTTCTGTCCTGCTAAATCATGACTCTTCTTCATGTAAAGACTTGTTTGGAGAGAAAGTTTCTTGAACATAATCTAGTTCTCATCATTAACTTCAAAGCACACTGAACAAACTGTTTCCCTGCTGCTTGGCGGAATGCAGAACTAAAACTAGAGTGTAAACAACCTCGCTGACAGACAGTGTCAGTTCAGCTCAGCCTTTACTAGATATGTGGGTATGAGTCAGTGGAAGGAAATATCCCACCATTCCCACCTCCCCTCTTTCTAGGCAGGGTGAAGATTCCAGATCTAATCCATTTTTTCACAATAACATTTTAATGCATTGGAGTTTGGTTTTCCCTTTTGTCCTTACCATCTTTTATAGTCTGAAGTATATAATACAATATTTCTCTAAAAACACACCGATTTTGTGGTTAACTTTTCAGTAGATCAGAAAGAGTTTCACTATAAATATGATGCAGGAGTACCTTTCAGATTATTCTCTCTTTAGATCAGGAAGTGTTGTGGAACTAGATTCTTTAAATATTGAGGAAATTCAGAGCTTGGCACTATGAGCAATAAATCAAATTCAGATATCTAACAAAAGATATCAAACACAATCCCATTTCCTAAGGTAAATCAAAATAATTTTCAATTATACCAGCAGAATTTACAGATTTTTGAAAACACCTAGCTTATATGTAGTAAGAACAAAACTTATGTCCTGGAAAGATAGTAAGATAATGATAAACTAGTCTTGTAATTCCAATTAACAATCAGCTCTAGCATTCTCTGCCACTGTGCACTACTTCACATGATTAAGAGTACTGGGGAACTCACATTCATGAGCTCCTCACTACTGAAGGCAGTCTGGCAGGTCTAGCTACATGTTTTGTTTTGGCACAAGCCAGCTTTGTGTTTCTCTTTTACTATTACTTTCCTCCCCTATTTTTGTTTTTACAAAATCTGTTAGCCCTTTTTTCAAGTCATTTGCTGGTATGATAGCTTTAGTGAGCTATCAAAAGCTGCTTCTATCTGCTATGGCAGATGCCTAGAGCTATAGTGTGAAATCAAAGGAAATAAACTCTGTTGACATGATTTGTAGATTATACTCTGTACATCATAGTAGGTTTCAAAGGTTGTCTTTGCAAAGCTCCAAAAGAAATTTCTTTTATTCAGTAGTTATCTAAAACTTCTTATATTAGGAAAAAAACCCCAAGAGTAGCTGAAATGAGGTGCAAATGATTATGAAATTCAAAGTAGATCCTCAGATGGTGTAACATGTCGTAACTTCCTCATGTAGTTATGGCAGCTTATGCTTGATAAGAATCTGTTCCCTAATGATTACACCAAGGCACATAATATAAAGACCAAAAGAATGTATTCACTTCTGCTACTGAAAGTAGTCATACTTCATTACTTTTATATGGGCTTGATGTTGTCAGCTTTGTCATTTTAATTGAAAATAAGTTTGATCCATATTTTTTTAAAAAAGTATTATGAAAGATCTCTTCAATTTAGGTATTTGAGTTTGATGTATTGTCTATTTTACCATGCAATGAATCCCTTTGCTACTTAAAAATCTCAGATTCCCTGTGCTTACTGACTGCTCTAAAGAAGGGAATTAATGACACAAACACACTAATCTTCGTTAAGAGATAAGCTGGTGTGATCGGTGACATACTAACTAGAACAATTTTGATTACCTTGGACAAGAAAATAAAAAGCTATTAAGTTTTTTATTTAATTTGTTCCAGAAATAAGGAAATGTAGGAAAAGAGAATTTTTGAGGAGGAAGTCTCACAGTCTGTCCTGCAATGAGAAGAACTTTTGAATTGCTGGAAGAAGAATTCAGATAAATCAGATCATGAATTTCTGAATAAAATCTAGTTAGAAGACAGTACCTTTCATATATTCATAAAATTCTCTCTCATTTGACCTAGAAATAGGATGCTGCAAAGAAAAGAAATCCTTGAGTAGGCAGTTTCAGATTCAACTGTACTTCTACGAGACTAACTCAAACTGCAATAAAAAGGCTTTTATTTTAAATCAGAAAAAGTTAAATGGAAGGTCTAATATTTCCCCAAACAGGTTTTCATTCTAAAAGCAAATAAAATATAATTTCTGATTGTTTATCCCAAATAGATTTTCCCTTCAAATTGTATCAAATACTTATTTTCTTGCCTTAGTCTTATTGTTCGTTGTTGTGCTTCTTATTTCCTGGATTTTGACATATCCAGATCAAGACACAAGTCACTTCTAAACCTGTAAACATGCTGAATTCTTTATGACTTCATGAGAAGCTTTGCCTAGAGACAGGGGAAGAATCTAGGATGCCTGTGTCACAGGAGGGCATTCCTACAAAAATAATTATCCTTCCTTTCTGGTCAGGTGGTAGCACAGATAGCTCAAAGCTTCTAAGTACGGTAAGCAAAATTGAATTTTATCACCTCAAGGATAATGACAAAATTAATTCAGTCTTGTAGAAGAGCCAGAAGTACTCCTTCTGGTACCATTTCTCTTCCTGGCTCAAAACACTGAAAGTGAACACATTCCTGATTCTGATAATGGGTAGTTACAGCCTGGTTTCCTGAGCACCCTTACTAGCTGGCTCTCTGACTCCCATCAATGTTGAGCATGTGACCTTCAGAAAAAAAACCCCCAGAATTACTGGGAAAAAAGTATGATGAGGAAAAACAATCCTTGTCTCTTCCTTTGCCACACACAGTCATGCAGTGTTACAACCATCATTTAGGGAGGGCTGCAGTCACCCTCCATCCCTTACACCCATCTGGGTTAAAACGGTGTCTTTGGGCTCCATGATGAGGAGCCACAAACAGAGACTGTGGAGCACACAGTCCTTACATTACTGAAAGTAGGTGTTTCACTTTTATTTGATTAATAGCTTCCTATCTGGAATAATGTTCCCTGAGTTATGGCAATTTACTACAGCAAATATAAATACAAAAATCTTGAATTCCCTTCATTTTTTGTGAGATAAACTGCATGAATACAGTTACAAAGCTGGGAAACCACTCAGCCACAAAAAGTATTTCTGTAAGAAAATTGCTCACAAATGCAGAGTTTGAGGTTTTTTTTCTAGAAGTTCAGAAACAAATTATAAATATTTTTTCTTATAATTAATGAAAAAATAATGAATATTCCCTGAAAAGCCAGGACACATCACCATAGTTGATGTGGCAATTGTGTTGTTGAAACTCTTGATTATCCTCTGAGGGGAAGAAAATGGGAGGAGATTAAAAGCTATTTCATTCTGCCAGTGCTTTTTTGTGCTGTAAATTTCTACTGCATTTTTTGCCAGAAATTGGCTTTGTCATGGGAAAATAGAGATCAGTGATCTCTTGATCACTGATTCAAATAACTTGATGTACTTCACTAAGCTGGTGTTCAGAAAAAGTAGGAATGACTTTTAAAAATACTTCATTAGCTTTTCCATGCAGCTCAATAAAAATACATAGGTGTCGGTATCAGTGCCCTAGCACAGCAGCCACACTCCTATGAGGAAAAAGTGTTGCAGCTACTATTCGCTAAACACTTAAAAGATACTTCAAGCCTAGTATGGAATTTACTTTATCTGAGTAATAGTGTCCACTGCACAAAATCACTAACTTTGATGAATTATCTCATTTAGAAATGACAATTCTGGTTTTTAATCCATTGTCCCTTATTTTACTGCTTCTCTTGATAAGTCACCTTGGCTAATGTCGTCCAAAGGCTGCTTGTCCTTTGAACTCAGTTTTGGGATTTAGTAACATTTGAACAATTGAAAACTCAGACAGGGCATGATTTTTAGTATGATGCATTGTACTGCAGTACAAACTGAAGTTGATCAGGTCAGAACACCTGCATAACACATTCCAGAACACAGGAGAAAGTATCTAGACCTTATCTTTATCCTACTGTTTCATATCACCTGACCAAAGATGTGTCTGATACATTCATACAACTTGTTTTCAAGTGTGAGGGACAGAAGCAATCCCATTGGTTGGGCCAGAGAGAGTTGCACCAAAGTTATAAGAAATCTGTGGCTTCAAAAGTCATCTTACAAATGTTTAGAGGTTTTTCTCTGAAGTTTTGACATAAATCTGTTTCTTGTTGAGTTCAGGCAATTTTGTGTGCCAACAGCATTCAATGACATACTCTGCCATTTGGGGAAAATTTTAGATCTGATTGTTAAGAGACCTATTTGTTTTAAAATAACCTACCCTACCTATGATTTTGTCTGGACTGAATGGACTTGGCCTACCCATCTTCTGTTTGAGTCCACCTTTTTTTCAGGCAACTTTTTCACTCTTGCTGTGAGCTTTCCTTTTATAATGACTATAAATTTGTTTCAATTGAAATACCTCTGAAGTATCAACACAAAATTAAAAAAAAAAGTTTTTATAACATTCAAGACTTTTAATTTAATATTTCAAAAATTTTCAGTGTTAGGGAGAAAAAATATCCAGGTCTGGGCTTTTGAGTTCAGCTTGTCTTTCATCCCAAAAATCAGACCATCAGTAAGAAAAATACCAGAATCTTCAACTACAAGACAAAATAGAACATCAAATAGAATGATGCTCTCATGTAACAGAGTTTTGTCATGTTTTTTCACATGTTCACAAACCACCATGGGATAAAGACAGAGTAAAGCCATAACATTGTATTTCACTCAAATATGGTT